GTGTGCGCGTGTGCGCGTGTGCGCGTGGGCGCGCGTGGGCGCGTGGGCGCGTGGGCGCGTGGGGCGCGCGTGGGCGCGCGCGCGTGGGCGCGCGGGGGTGCGCGGGCGCGCGGGCGCGCGGGCGCGCGCGCGCGCGCGGGGGCGCGCGGGCGCGCGCGCGCGCGCGGGCGCGCGGGCGCGCGGGCGCGCGGCGCGCGCGGGGCGCGCGGGCGCGCGGGCGCGCGGGCGCGCGGGCGCGCGGGCGCGCGGGGCGCGGCGGGCGCGCGGGCGCGCGGGCGCGCGGGCGCGCGCGGGCGCGCGGGCGCGCGGCGCGCGGGCGCGCGGCGCGCGGGCGCGCTGGGCGCGCGCGCGCGGGCGCGCGGGCGCGCGCGCGCGCGTGCGCGCGTGCGTGCTGCGTGCGTGCGTGCGTGCGTGCGTGCGTGCGTGCGTGCGTGCGTGCGTGCTTGCTGGGGGTGTGTGTGTGTGTGTGTGTGTGTGTGGTGTGTGTGTGCGTGTGTGTGTGTGTGTGCGTGTGTGCGCGTGTGCTGTGGCATGGCACGGGAAATGAGGCCAACGCTGCAGCGGGAGCACGATTCGGAACGAGCGGAAGCACGGAAATGAGGCCAGCGCTGCAGCGGGAGCACGATTCGGAACGAGCGGGGCCCGAAAATGAGGCCGGCGCCTCAGCGAGAGCAGCGTTTTAGAAAAAAACACAAGCGAAAACCCAACTCCGGGGAATCATGTGTGTAAAAAAACAGTACGCGGGGGGGTGCCGAATATCTTCCGGACGCCATCGGGGGAAGAGGGAGAGTAGTATTCATATTGAGTAATTGTAGAGGGAGGGGGGGGGAAGCAGGGGTGAGGGGGAGAAGAAGAGAGAGAGAGGGAAAGAGAGAGAGAGAGGGCACTGAAGTAAACGAGATGAACAAGGTTGCCCAGACAGGAGGAGAGGTGGTTGGCATCCTGCGAGGGTCGCCGCCTCAGAGCTTGGCTTGCAGTCACGTTGCCGAGATTAGGACCTCCGCGGGCTCGGGAGGGACTCTGGCTTCCGGGCCGTTCTTTCGGTCCAGGGCGGGCAGCCTCTTCGCGGCCGAGACCAGAGAAGCCCCGTCGTGCATTACTCGGCGTCCCTTGCGCCTGGCATCGCTCGGAGGTGTGCATCTTTTTCTCGGCGAGAGAAGCATCGAGGACCATTCTGGACCATCGGGCAAAAAACACACGCACGAAACCGAAAATTGCACGGGAAATGGGCGTCCGAGCGACGCAAGTGCGGCGGCGCGATGACTCCAACCCTGCTCTGGGCTGCAATTGCGGGGCGGCCCCGGCGTGGCGGGCGCGGAGCAGCAGCTCCCCGCCCAGGGCTCGGCCCTCTCGCGGAGCGGCAGTCGTCATCGTCAGAGTACAGGCAAGCCGCGCGAGGCATGCGAATGGTCGCTGCTGTCGCCTTCGACGCTGGCACCGCAGATGCCCGACGATCTGATTTTCGTCAACCAGCGTGCTGCCTTAGATCTCGGTTCTCGGGGGCCGTTAGGCGGGCTTGGGGACTGCAAAAGATCATCTGGACGCAAAACAAAGGGGAAGCGGTCGGGATTCCTGGGGCCGAGGACTGGAAAACAGATCGGCGGATGTCAGGGACTGGTCCATATGGGTTCCCTCCCCTGCTGCCGATCACACGCCGCTGAACAGCCGTCAGGCTCTAGCTCCGCCAGCTGCGCCGAACATCCTGCCGTCCTACCCCTCTTCATAACCCCTCACCCTCCCACCTCTGGAACTGGAACTGCCGCTCTTCTCTGGCCCTGGCCCGTCCAGTCTAATCTCTTGCGCACCCTCTCAGCATCGCTTCCCCTCTCGCCAGCCTCGGAGGAGATAGCGGAGATGGAAGCGCTCGAGGCGAAGGCCTTGAGCTTTTTGAGGCGCCCTGCCGCCCGACATCCGCACCAGTGAGAGATGGCGAAGTGGAAATGCGTATCATTCAGCGCGGGGGTAGCTGACAGCCTAGACCTCCAACGTCACGATTTGTTCACTACATCCACATGAAGTTTGTCTCTTCGCGAGTCGGTTTCTAGTTTGTTTCGGAAGCACCCCCCCCCCCGACACCCCAGAGGCTCAAACTTTGTTTGGGAAAACAAACACCAAGAAAACACGTTCGCCGATATCTGTTCGCGGTGGCTGGAGATCTGACAGGGAGGACAGGGCGGCCGAACATCTCAGCAGGTCGAGGCGTGAGACTTTGGACAGGAGGAGGGACCCACCAACCACGTCCTACGAAATTCGCCAGTGCAGGGTCCCATTGTGAAGGCCTTACGGCCGGTGCCGCCGAGACTGAAGAAAGACGACGAGGACGACGAGAGGAGGAGTAGGAGGAGGAGGAGGAGGAGGAGGAGGAGGAGGAGGAGCACGAGGAGGACGCGGAGGACGCGGTGGAGCAGCAGGGGGGGCAGGAGGAGGATGCGGAGGAGGATGAGGAGGGGGAGCAGGGGCAGGGGGAGGACGGGCGGGGAAGGAAGGAGCAGAAGGAGGACGAGGAGAAGGGGAGTCGGAGGAGCAGGACAAGGAGGACGCGGAGGAGGGGGAGGAGGAGGGGAAGGAGGAGGTCGAGGTAAGGTTGCGGAGCATCGGGGGAAGAGCACGCAGGGGAGGGGGGGAGCATGATGAGGAGGATGATTAGGAGGATGAGGATGATGAGGAGGAGGATGCGAAGGAGGGGGAGGAGGGAAAAGGTGAGAACGAGGATGATGAGGAGGAGGAGGGAAAGGGTGAGGCGAACGAGGAGGAAGAGCAGGAGAAGCAGGAGGAGGAGGACGCCGTGGAGCAGGAGGGGGAGGATGGGGAAGAGAATGCGGAGGAGGATGAGGAGGGATGGTTGGGGGCAGACTGAGGTCGAGAAGGGCAATGAGCAGGCGGAGGAAGACGAAGACGAGGCGGAGGGACAGGAGGTGGGGTGTGAGGAGCAGGGGGCGGAGGGATGCTTGTCGGCATCTCTTCAGAGCGCTCTCGGGGCTTCCGGTGGACAGTTTGGGGGCGTTTGGGGGGACGTGGGGGGGCCTCTTGGGGACCTCCAGGGGCTTCCTGGGGGCTTCTTGGGCGCGTCTTGGAGGCCTGTTGGGGCCTCCTGAGAGCTTCTCGGGGGAGAGGACTCAAGATGTCCGTTCGGCTGTCCCGTCTGGGCACCCTCTGGGAGCCGTCTTGGGTGCCTCTTGGCCTGTCTTGGAAGCGTCTCGGGCCGTCTTGGGGCGATCTTGGGGGCTTCTGGGGCCGTCGTAGAGCGTCGGGAAGCGGAAGAGGGGGAGACGCCGAAAGCGAACAAAAACCGAAGGGAAGTTGATGAATTATGCCACTGGGGGCTTTCTTGGGAGTGCTTCTGGAAACTTCTGGGAGCGTTTTGCAGGCCGCATGGGCCTTCAGCAGGCCGTGAAGGCGTCTTGGACACATCGTTCGGCGTTGCGTGACCTTCTTGGGCCGTCTTGAGGGCTTCTTCGGGCATTCTTGGCCGGTCCTGGTGCTTTTGTGGGACCCGGGACCCCTCGGGAGGAGAGCGTGTCTGGGTGGCGACCCCCCCCGGGTATCTTCCCCGCAACCCCCCCGGGGACCCCCCCCCGACGGGGGAGGGATCAAAGGGCGGAGGCTTCCCTTCGATTGAATTACAACGGAGGAGGGATCAAACGGAAGGGGACCCCTTCGATTGAATTACGACGTTACCCAATTTTGTTTTGGCTGGCGCGCTTGGGGAGGAGGGCCCAGGAGAAGGAGGGGGAGCGGCGACGAGCCCAGGGAAGTGGGCGCCGTGGCAAGGAAGGTCCCTTCGCTCCTTCAGTTGGGTTCCTTCTGGTAGCAGGATGGCTGTACAGTCGGGGCCCTGAAGAAGGAACCCTTTTCTTTGGAGAGGGGCTCTGCGTTCCTTGTTTGTTCTGCAGTTTGCCTTCAGTTTTCCTGAGGCTTTCCATGGGAAATCGAAGTTCAACGTATGGGAGAAAGGGGCCCCGTTCCTGATTTAGGGCTCCTTAGGTCAACGCCCCGACTGTAGACATTGCTTGCCCCGGCGATGCCCACCACTTTTTGCACGCCCGGCTGTGCCGATCGTGGCCCTCCCCGCAGGAGGGGGGCGAGAGAGGCAGGAGGGCGACGCCCACCGTTTATTTATGCACGCCAGCGGTGTCGACCACGGTCCCACCGCCGGCCTGTTGGCATGCAGCCGAAGCGGCTCTCCGCATCATTGTGCACGAACGAGATGGGCACGGAAAGAATGGGTACAATGCCCAACAGCAGTTCCTGTTCATTTTGAACAGGGCTCGCTGTCCACGCCGCCGCGGCCTGTGTCCATTCGAGACAGGGGGCCGCCTGCCCAACAGCGGCCGCTGTTGGCTTGGGACAACATTTGTTGTTGGGCATAGTGCCCAGTCTTTCGGTACCCATTTCGGGTGTCCAAAATCATGATCGCACCACACTGCTCCTGCGAGCGAGGCCAGTGGCAGATGCGATACCGCCACGGCAAAGGAATCGATGCCTCGTCTGTGTCTGGATCGTTATCTTCATCATTGGCGTCGCCGTGGTCGTCTTGCACATGCGCCGTGGCACCGGCGACCTCTTGACGACCTGCCTACGTAGCGCACCCGTTTCGGCCAGGACGCGCACCAGTCGTTTTGCCGCGGTCAGTGGCGTGAGGTATGCTTGCGAGCCCCCGAGAATACTTCGGGGGTGCTAAAGTTTTTGACCATAAGATGAGAATTGCCTCGCTGGTCACGCGTGCCGCGGAGGACCGATCAGGATGCAAAGGTGCCTTGATGCGGATTCGCGAGCCTTTGTGGGCCCTCTGGGACGGCCAACCAGTGAACCGAGAGCGACCGCATTGGAGAAGGATGCCCAGGGTCTCACAGCATCAATGCAACAAGGAATACAATGAAACATCGCGTTGGCATGATAAGGACAGGGTCGATGGGGATGATGACACGGACGATCAAACGTGACCCAAGCGGAGTGGTTTACTGTGAATGGGTTCAACTCGGAGTGTTTTCCGGCCCCATTGTAAATGGGACGGAGTAATTATCACCCTGTTTAATATATATATTATTATATTATTACAGGGTGAGAGCCCATCGGAGTCGAACCGCCGCCCGACCCAAAACATGCCGCTAAGATTCTACGGGGGGCAGGGGGCGTCGACACCATGACGTCTTATGGTCAAAACTATAGTACCCCCCGTGTAGAGGAGACGCCACCGAAGTTGATGCGTTCGCCAGATTTTCCAGAGGACCACACTTGCTGACGATTGGACCCAGAGGGCAGCCCCGCTCTCCCGCTCGGGCTGGCTTGGCCAACATGTGTAAGTCGTGGTCATATCGTGTTGGTCCTGGTTGGATGAGAAGCCAGTCAGCAGCGCGGGCCTTTGATTGAGCGTACAGGTACGGAGGCCATCCGGTATTGCTGACCGATCCGCGTCCAAGGGCCTCACGTCTGCGCAGAGCCCCAGTTTACTTGCACTTCTCGTGCGATGGGTGAAGCCCCACCAGCTGTTTCGAGAAGCACTGGCGCAGCACGTCTCATGACGATACCTATTTGCGTTAACGGTTGAAGTAAGAAACGACAGAGAAGGGCACACACAATGTCAAGGCCACAGTTTTGACAAGCAGCATGCTCACAATGGAGGAACCCCTCACCACGTTGCGCTCACGAGTTTATTGTGTAAGCGCTCGGAGTCAGGTGCACAGGTGTTAACCGGGGGCAAAGCGTGTATTGCGTGCGCATTTGCATAATGTTGCATCGTTCGTGCCATGGTAGGTGTCAGATTTATCTTCTTTGCAGCCAACACATGAAATTAGGTACCACCAGAAGGAGACGAAGTTGAGCAGGGACGAGTTGTTCAAAGCAGTAGACGCCAACAAGGCTGGCATTATTTTGGGTGTTGCATGTGTACTTTCATGTTCTTCGCGTTGTTCGATATGCTGGTATATTCCCATCCCTCTCTCTCGCCCTCTCCCTCGCTCTCTCCATCTCTCTCTCTCTCTCTCGCTCTCTCCTCTCTCTCTCTCTCTCTTTCCCTCTGTATCCGTCTCTTTCTCTCTGTCTCTCTCTCTCTCTCTCTCTTTCTCCCTCTCCCTCTACGAATCTCTCTCTCTCTCTCTCTCTCTCTCCCTCTCTCTTTGAGTTTCCCCCTTCCTCCCTCTTCTTTCAGCGTTCGCATGGCTCTCCGTGCCATGGGTTTGAGTGCGATTCTGGATGGTGGCGCAGCAGCCATTGCGGTCGTCGTGAGTCCATCCGCTTCGATTCCGATGAGCCGTCGATGAGATGCGGTCCGATGTGTGCACGGCGTTGTTGTACATCTCGCCGCAGCCGATCCGTTCCGATTCCGATTCTGCGCAGATGCAGCCCGATCCCACGCACGTTCCGATCCAACCCAACGCCCCGAGTCGACGATGTTTAATATTGCATCACTTATTGTCGAGCTCATTGCGGCCAATACGCTTACAGGTGTCTACAGCGAGCGTCATCCTGGAGACACCTTGCGACTCCATGTTTGCCAAAGACGCCACCCCGGTGGCCGCTTCAGCTCCCACACGTGGTTAGTCAGCGTCTCGTCGGTCGATCGTCATATGCGCTCTCGGCCCCCTCACTCGCTTTCTCATGGCGCCCCGTCTCCGAAAGAGGATCGACTGAACCCCCCGATGGCCCGCTACTCCTAAAACTCGCTGGGATCCTGCGGGAACCGCTTGGGACTGTTAAGACCACCCTACAGTCTAGAGCGCCCCAGGCACCCCTGGGAGCTCGAGCTCCCCTGGAGCCCTGTGCTGGATCCCCCGCTCCAGGACGGGAAGATCTCCGAGGCGGACTTCGTCAAGTTTTTTGTCACGTGCAAGCGGCCTCCGAAGCCGCAGGATCCGAAGGCCAAGGCCGACGCCGACGCCGACGGCTGGGGGCTCAGCTCGCCTTGGCAACCGTCGACAAGCCAGGGGGAGGGCGGTGGGCGAGAAGGAGGAGCTTCGGCGCCAAGACTCCGCCCACATCGGCTCCTCGCTATTTGGCCTCTTGGAGGGGCCAGAGAGACGTGTGTGTCGCCTGGTCTCCCCAGAAGCTGCAAACACCTCCTGCTGCTCCATCCCCCCTCCCCTCTCCTACTCCCTCCTCTTCCCTCCCCATCTATCGCTCCTCCTCATCACCCTCTTCTTCCTCCTCCTCCTCCTCCTCCTCCTCCTCCTCCTCCTCCTCCTCCTCCCCCTCCTCCTCCTCCTCCTCCTCCCCCTCCTCCTCCCTTCTGTCCCTCCCTTCTCCCTCCCCTTCCTCCCGCCTCCCTCCCAGCTCCGTCCTCCTTCACCCTCCCTCCTTACTCCTCCCGTCTCCCTCCCTCGCGCCTCCCATCTTTCTAGGGCTCCCCCCCCATTATCATCCTCATCCTATCCCATCATTGTGCTCCTCCCTCTCCCTCTCCCTTGCCTCCTCCCCCCTCCTGGCCAACGTGAGGCCAAGCACAACACGAGCCCCGACCTTCGCCCACTCTCGGCGGACGGGACGCACGGAACGAGGCCGAGCCCGAGGACCCCCACAGGGGGGGAAGCGAGAGCAGTTGCGGGCGCCCGGCGGCCGCCGCCGCAGCCGCAGCGGTCTGCCACCCTCGCCAGCCGAGCTCGGGCGCCACCCCGAGCTCGCCTGGAGCGGCTCCCGGCAGGGCCTCTGCGCCGCGTCCCATGCAGCGGGGTGGTCGCCAGCCGCTGGCAGCCCAGGGGAGGGGATTCTGGTCGTCGTCATCATCATCCGCATCATCATTACCATCATCATCATCATCATCATCATCATCATCATCATCATCATCATCATCATCATCATCATCATCATCATCATCATCAGCATCAGCATCAGCATCAGCATCAGCATCAGCATCAGCATCATCATCATCTTTATCATCATCATCAGCAGCAGCAGCATCAGCAGCAGCAGCATCAGCATCATCGTCATCATCAGCAGCATCAGTATCATCAGCATCAGCATCATCATCAGCATCATCAGCATCGCCATCACCATCACCATCATCAGCATCCTCATCAGCAGCAGCAGCATCGTCATCAGCATCATCATCAGCATCAGCGTTATAATCATCATCAGCATCAGTATCATCATCATACTAAGCATCATGTTGACCATAGCCATCAGCATCATCATCACCCGCATCATGCCCATCCTCAGCAGCGTCAGCAGCTTTATCAGCAGCATCAGCAGCAGCATCAGCATCATCATCAGCAGCAGCATCATCGACCTCATCAGCATCATCGTCACCATCATCGTCCGCAGCATCATCATCATCAGCATCATCATCGTCGTCATCGTCGCCGTCGTCGTAATCATCATCATCATCATCATCATCATCATCATCATCATCATCAACAACACCATCTTCATCATCGAATTCATAATCATCATCGGCATCATCATTTTCAGCATCATCGTCATCAGCACCACCATTCACACTAGCAACAGCAATAACAACAATCATGTTAAGACTGCTCGCTCTTACTGACACGCGTGTCTTCCATTCTGTATACCCCAACCCTCGATACCCGCCCACTTCGTCTTAGATTGCACCCCCTTTGGGGGGACTCCCTTCTTTGTCGGCCACTGACGGAAGTGCGAGGAAGTCTCGAGCGAGAGCGCCCTTCTTGATTTCGGGGGCCTCTCTGGCCAGGGGCTCTCGGAATACCGATGGAGAAATATCGAACGGGAGCCTTTGTCGCCGTGTCTGGGCCTCCACCCAACTTGCCTGAATTACGAGAAAGTCTCGAGCGAGAGCGCCGCTCCTGAGTTCGGGGCCTTCCTGGCCAGGAGCTCTCGGAGAAAATCGTGAGGAAATATCGAGCAGGAACCCTTGTCGTCGTGGATGGGCCTCCGCCACCTTGATTGAATTGCGAAGAAATCTCGCCGTTCCTGAGGTCGGGGGCCTGTCTGGCCATGGTGTCTCAGATAATTGTGAGGAAATATCGGGCGGGAGCCGTTGTCGTCGTAGCTGGGCCTCCAAGGGCCCACATTTAGACTCAAGCCAACGCTCGCGCGGGAGCTTCGTTTACAGAGAGAATGTAGCCGGCGTCGAGGCGAGAGCGCGCGGAACCGCTTCCGGAGATCAACAATAATTATTATCTAGGAGTGGCCATTCAACACGGTGACCCTCATAATCCATGCTTCTGCATGCCGCACGCATCCATCATGATGTCAACCCCCTCTTGGGGGAACTGTATGAAAAGGCGGCCGATATTCCCACACCCAGACCTCCCGCCCAAGGAGGTCGAGCCAAAACCTCTCCCGAGGCACTCTCCCACTTTCAGTTCACACTACACATAAAATAATCAGGGCGACGTTGGGGAGCGGTGAGGATTCGGAACACTAAGGGTTAGAGCCCCAGTCAAGGAGCAATCTATAAGCATACGTAAAACACTACGGATTCGAGCCCCAGTCGGGGGGCAATCTGCAGGAAAATACGTAACACAGTCGAGGGCAATGTACAGGAGCATTTGCAAACACACCAAGGATTCGAGCACCAGGAGAGAGGCGCCAAAACCTATGGGGGCGAAGACTATGGGGCGAAGCCTACGAAGGGCCGAAAAGCACCCGAGCACATATCCCAATACAGAAAGGTGTTTCCTGGGGCCTCTTGGGAGCCTCCTGGGGGCGGAGGGGCCGAACAGCGCTCCCCGAACACATCCCAATACAGGAAAGTGTATCCCGGGGCTTCCTTGGAGCGGAGGGTCCGAACAGCGCTCCCCGAACACATATCCCAATACAGAGAATTCCTCCGTGGGCGTCTTGGGGGCGGGAGGGTCGAAAAACGGTTTTCGAACACAGCTCCCCGGAGCGTCTTGGGGCCTCCGCAAGTAGCGGCAAGATTGCTCTGACGGATACCCTTGCGCTCTTGATTTGCAAGGGCTTCTAAAGCGAATCGGCCATTCCGGCATCCGCGAGTAGCAGCAATAATGTGTTGAAAGACTCTTTTCGGTGCTGAATTGCGAAGAACTCTCAGGCGAAAAGGCCGTTCTGGCATCCGCGAGTAGCAGCAACTTGGTTCTGAAAGACCCTCCCGTGGTGCGAGGAAGTGTCAGGCGAAATGGCCGTTCCGGCATCAGCAAGTAGCACCAAGATTGTTCTGACCCCCTTGTAGTGTTAAATCGAGAGGAAGTCTCGGGCGAGAGCACCCTTCCTGAGGTTCGGGCCCTCTCTGGCCAGGGCCCCTCGGAGTAAATTATGAGGAAGTATCGCACGGGAGCGTTGAAGTCTCATGTCTAAAAATAATTATTGTAGATCCCCCCCTCTGGGGCACATCATGTTTTTCAATCAAAATGCTTCTCCCGGGGCTCGCACACGGTTTTTTCTATCATATATATATACATACATACATATATATATATATATATATATATGTATATGTATATGTAAATGTATGTGTATGTATATATATATACATATATCAGTAAGGGCTTCGCCCCCTGCCGCCGGCCCCCTCTCTCGGAGAATGGGCCATGGAAGAGCTAAGTCATGAGGTTTTGGCGCTGTCGCGCATCAGTATCGGAACTTCATGCGAGGCCGATTCGCAATCGGCAAAACCAACTGATCACAAGAGGGGTTACCACACAGGGCGATTGGTAAGACGTGTATGGTTTACGAGCTTGGTTACCACACCTTGGGATTAAAGGGCCGAGGGAGTACTCGCAGTTTGGGTTACCACGCCTTGCCATGGATGTCCGTGAGGGTTGGCACCGAATTTCAGAAATGTGGCAAATCCCCTGTGTTTTTGGACCCTTACCCCGCGGATCTGCGTGAGGGGTGGCACCGAATTTCAGAAATTGTGCAAATCCCATTTGTTTTTGGACCCTGACCCCGCGGATCTGCGTGAGGGGTGGGTTCGAATTTCAGAAATGTGGCAAATCCCCTTTGTTTTTGGACCCTGACCCCGCGGATCTGCGTGAGGGGTGGCACCGAATTTCAGAAATGTGGCAAATCCCTTATGTTTTTGGACCCTGACCCCGCGGATCTGCGTGAGGGGTGGCACCGAATTTCAGAAATGTGGCAAATCCCCTGTGTTTTTGGACCCTGACCCCGCGGATCTGCGTGAGGGGTGGCACCGAATTTCAGAAATGTGGCAAATCCCATGTGTTTTTGGACCCTGACCCCGCGGATCTGCGTGAGGGGTGGCACCGAATTTCAGAAATGTGGCAAATCCCCTTTGTTTTTGGACCCTGACCCCGCGGATCTGCGTGAGGGGTGGCACCGAATTTCAGAAATGTGGCAAATCCCATGTGTTTTTGGACCCTGACCCCGCGGATCTGCGTGAGGGGTGGCACCGAATTTCAGAAATGTGGCAAATCCCCTTGTGTTTTTGGACCCTGACCCCGCGGATCTGCGTGAGGGGTGGCACCGAATTTCAGAAATGTGGCAAATCCCCTGTGTTTTTGGACCCTGACCCCGCGGATCTGCATGAGGGGTGGCACCGAATTTCAGAAATGTGGCAAATCCCATGTGTTTTTGGACCCTGACCCCGCGGATCTGCGTGAGGGGTGGCACCGAATTTCAGAAATGTGGCAAATCCCTGTGTTTTTGGACCCTGACCCCGCGGATCTGCGTGAGGGGTGGCACCGAATTTCAGAAATGTGGCAAATCCCGTGTGTTTTTGGACCCTGACCCCGCGGATCTGCGTGAGGGGTGTCGATTTCGAGCCCCCCCAGCAATTCAGACAACGCGCCCAGGGGATGCTAAAAGTCTTGTTTGGGCCTCCCCCCCCCTCGCGCGGTCAATCAACTAGTTACAGTAACCAGCAAGAAGTCAATTAGTTACAGTAACCAGCAAGAAGCAGAACTGTAACACTGGAAACTACAAGCTACAACTGGTACTGGAAACTGCGAACCCGTGCCTACAGCCTGGTGGCCCCACAAGGGGGCCGGCGGATTTGTGTGCAAGGGAAAGCGAGGGATCACCATATTGGGTCCCTGGCCTTCGGTTTACAACAACAACGGCTCCCGCCGGATATTTCCTCACGAGCTATTCCCAAATCGCGATCTCGTGCGGGACGTCTTCACAATTTATGCATGAAACGCGTTCTCGCGTGGGACTTACTCGCCATTTATTCAGACGCCGCGCCCCCGACACTCAGGAATCACGCTCTCGCTGTGGATTCCCTCATGATTTAGATGGTAATCGCGCTATCGCTCGAAACTTCGCGATTCAAGCAGGACGCACGCATCAGCAACCCGCCTGCTCGACCTGGCCGCTTAAGCCCGCCTTCCCGACCCGCCCGTTCGGGTTCCCCTCGTCGTCTTATAACTCCCCTCCTTCCTCACCCCTCCAACCAGAACCCACACAAGGCTTCCCTGCACCGTCTCTCCTGCGTTTCTTTCTCTCCTCCGTCCGCGTCTTTCCTCCTCGTCCTCTCTCGTCCCCTCCTCCCTCCTCGACCTCCACTCCGCCCCTCCCTCCAACCCTCCCCCATCATCCCACATCGTCCTTTTCCCTCCCTCCGCCCTTCTCCCTCCCCCCCTTGTCCGCATCTGTGTTCCTCCTTTCCCTGCCCCTCATCCTCCCCTCTCTCCATACCCTCCCCCTCTGCAGCCCGGGCGTACTTCAGGTGGTTCGCTTCTCGATCGGACTTGTCTAGTCTGCCCCCCCCCCTCCGTCGGCTTCCTCGCACCGACACCAATCCCTCCTTCGCCTCCTCTTGCCCCGGCGAGCCGGGCTGCTCAGGCGAGGAGGAGCTGGACACCGCCCCCGACGACGCGGGCCTGCAGAAGGCCCTGCCCTCCTCGTCCACGCCCTCGTCCTCCGCATTCCTTGACACGTCATCTTCGTCGTCCTCGTGGTCGCCCTCGCCTTCGTGAGCCTCCGTCGTCGCCGGCGGTGGCGGCATTCTCGTCGCCGCCCTCGCACCCCTCGTCTTCGTCCTCGCGCTCGGCGCTCTGCTTCTGCTGTGCGCAGGCGCCAGATGCCCGGGGCGGCGAGCCTGCAATGAGGAGGCAAGGAGGGCACGAGGGCCAGGAATCCTAGCTAAGCATTCCCTGCCCCTGCGCTTGACCCTGCCTCTCTCGTCCTCCTGTTTTTCCTCCTCCTCCTCCTTGTCCTCCTCCTGCACCCGAGCCAGCTCAGGCTGCTCTTGCTGCTGCTTCTAGTGATGCCGCTGCCGCTTGCACCACCGCTGCTGCTCCTCCTGCTTGTTGCTACAGGTGATGCGGTTCCTGGTCCTATTCCTCCTTCAGCTCTTCGTCTCTGTCTGTTCTTGCTCTAGTTGTTGCTCGTTCTGGTGTCCCTGCCTTTCCTCTCGCTCCCGCACACCGCCTCGCATCTGCCGATATCCTGCGCCCGTGGCCCGGCGGAGAAGCAGGTCTTCAAGAATTTGGTCGATGGGGACAAGGATTTCTTGACCAAGGAGCGCTTCGCGTCCGTCGTTCGGCACCTGATGAAGGCCGGCGCCCCGCAAGAACGGCTCCGATGTTCTTCCCGTCGTCCCTGTCACAACATGAACACGAAGTTGTGCATCTCGTGGGCCACTTCGCGGGGCACCCGTGGGCCAGGCGTTTTGCTCATAATGCATGTCTTCTGGTGGAGTGGTCCGCCGAGGTGTCCGATAGGCGTCCGTCAGGGATATTCTGTTCAGGCCATGATGGTGAAGGCTGGGTCAAGCAAAGATACACACGGCGCTCCAGAAGTGGCCTCGCCTTCGAGCGATGGAAGGAGTTGGCATCTTTTCCAAGGTGGAAGGCGGCGGAAGTAGATCGAGGGCAGTTCTGCCAGTGGAAGCAGAAGGTGGCCACGCAAGAGATACAAATCATGTTGAATTCAGGGATTCTGGAACGAGTCACACTGACACGCTAGGCAAAGCCAGTCAAAGTCGGCACATTCGATGCGAGCCCCAGCGAAGCGACAGCTAAATTAAATTAGGCCGAGGCTACATCAGAAGTTTGAAGCTGGGTGGATACATCACCGCATAAAACAGTTAAAGTTGCAGCAATGCATAATGTGATGGCAATATGATGAAAATGTCGCCTGCCGCGGAGCTACATAAGTCAAGGTGAGCTGAATTCAGTTACACTAGGTCAGAGCAAGTAGCTGTGTAAGCGGCCGCTAATTACTAAGCAAACTCAGTTGCAAGCCAAGATAATACTGGCTGGGCCCCGTGCTGCAAAAGTAAATTGGCGCTGGCCTAGCACATCGAAGCACCGCGGAGCAAGTAAAAGTTGGAAGTAGCGCCCACCCTAAACATTTCTGACGGGTTCGGACTAGTCTAGTTTCGATCATGTTCGTATGCAGTGGTTTGGGTGAGGGGGTTGGCCTAGGCCTAAGCCGTGCGTAGGGTGATTGTGGCCTTGCTCAGGCAATGCGTGCGGTGTACATGGCCGTGCCCAGTCTGCGCCAGGACGTTGTCCAGGCCACGTCCGGGCAGTGCATCGACCGAGTCAAGGCCTTCTCCAGGCCGTGCGCAGGCAGCGCGCACGCTTGGCCTGAAATCATCTGAGGCAGATGATCAGGCCTGGCGGCTGATTATTCATCCCTTCCCAGCCAGGTGTTTCTTCAGCACTTCACAGGGAGCGCCAGCCAAGCGTTTGGAAGGGTTTCGTCTGTTGGCCCAGGTGAGGAGGAAGGTGAGAGGGAACCCTTAGTGCGTGCACTGGCTTGGAGCCAGCCCAATCAAAGTGGCCCAGATGGTTTGAGTCCAGGAGTGCACTTCCCGCCACACTTCTCCATCATATGCGCGCGTATTTCACGTACTTCTTTCCGCCCAGATGTTTCCATGTATAATCAGATTCCTATAATTCCCCCTCTGCGCAGTTCCTGTATGGAGAGGCGCGTGATCAAATTCGACTAAGAGCTCGAAGCTGTAAGGGTGCAACACGTACTGAAGTGTGTAAGCATATGCGGTGAGTCCTAGGAGGACGATGAGGAAGAAAAGGAGGAGTATGATGAGCGAGGGCGAGGATTATGCCAGGGGTTGGTGTTCTTGCTGCATCGTGCGAACATGAGCTCTTCTTCCCGTTGGATCCGACGGCGCGCGTGGCCAGATCATGCGACGAGTGGACGGGTTGCGTGTAAATTCGCAGGGCACCGATGGGTGTCAAAAGCAGCAGGGATGCTCGAAGCAGGAGCTGGAGGAGGGAGTCACAGCCAGCATGCTCTCCTCACAGAACGACCTCACCAACACGTCGGCGCAGGCGTTGCGTGTCTCATCACGATACCCATCGGTCGTTGAAAGTAGGTATTTCCCGGAAAGGGCGCCGGCCCAGGGTTCTCTTTTAGTTTGTAAACCTGTCCCCCGGTGCCAACTTGAAGGAGGCCGGCGGATTTTTTCCTTGATAAATATCGAGGTCGAAGGAGGCCGGCGGATTAAAATTTGAGGATGTCTCGAGCGAAACGCTTGTTTTTGAAATCCCGATCGATAAATCACAGGGTGCGGGCCACTTTTTCGTGTGTTGAGGATGTCTCGAGCGAAACGCTTGCTCCGCAGAGTTTGCCGAGGATGTCTCGAGCGAAACGCTTGTTTTGCAGAGCCGACCGCGACGCGGAAAAGCGCCCCGCGCGAAGGAATTTCGATGATGTCTCGACTAATTCCTTTGTTTTTGTACGATTTCCTGGAATTTTGGCAGGATGTCTCGAGCGAAATGCACGACCCCACCCTAGCACGACCATACCCCAGCACGACCACACCCCAGCACGACCAGACCCCAGCACGACCCCACCCCAGCACGACCCCACCCCAGCACGACCATACCCCAGCACGACCACACCCCAGCACGACCCGACCCCAGCACGACCCTACCCCAGCAAGACCACACCCCAGCACGACCACACCCCAGCACGACCTCACCACAGCACGACCACACCCCAGCACGACCACGCCCCAGCACGACCACGCCCCAGCACGACCACGCCCCAGCACGACCACCCCCCAGCACGACCACCCCCCCAGCACGACCACCCCCCAGCACGACCACCCCCCAGCACGACCACACCCCAGCACGACCACTCCCCAGCACGACCACACCCCAGCACGACCACACCCCAGCACGACCACACCCAGTCGCACCCCCGTGGAATGTTTCGTGGCGTGTCTGGTTGAGTGGTTGCCTGTTCGTGGGGTGTCTCGTGGAATGTTTCACGGGGTGTCTCGTGGAATGTTTCGTGAGGTGTCTCGTGGAATGTTTCGTGAGGTGTCTCGTGGGATGTTTCGCGGGGTGTCTCGTGGGATGTTTCGTGAGATGTCGCCCAGTTGGGTATCGTGAAAACGTGACCATGCTGCACATGTCTTTATCCCTTTCCGGGTTCGTGGGTCCATCATGTTTTGGATTCCCAGATTCCAATCTACTTTCAGCGCCTTCCTACTTCAAGAGTCGAGTGGTTTTCCCTCTTCCTTCCTCTTCGGGAGGCGGGCGGAACCCCAATCTATTTCCAACGCCTTCCTACTTCATGTTTCTACCTACTTCTTCCGACCGATGGATACGCACAGACGGGGCCCAGTGGTCCGCCACTGTCCCGGAAGGGTCCTCGAGGGTCCCCAGCGGGTTCGCGCGGGGAAGGGGACCCTTGTCGGAGGCTGGCTGCGGGCAGCGTCTAGGGTCGCCCCGTGAGATCCAGACGTTGCAATTGTTTCACACTGGACTACTACTACTACTACTGCTACTACTACTACTACTACTACTACTACTACTACTACTACTACTACTACTACTACTACTACTACTACTACTACTACTATTCGCACAAAGTCTGGCCTTGGCACCATCACACATCGATCGGTCTCGCAAAATGCCGATGAAAGGTGGGGTCTAGGGCTCCAGTCGTGATGCTTCCCGATATTTCAATATGTTCCAACTCTCCTGTGGTGTTTGGTCTTCGTTTTGAATACACATCGCCCCGCGTTCCCTCCCTCACGCTCTCCTCCCCTCCTCCCCTCCCTCCTCCCGTTCCTCCCCCTGTCCTCTGCCCTCCGCATGTCCATTTCGGCAAACCACTGGCACGTTTCGTGTCCCCATAGGGAGCTCCCCCAAAGGCCCCAGAGGCGCAGTCCGCATGCGCATCCCCCACCTATTACGGCATGCCCGGTTAGTCGTCCCATAGGAGGCTCCACCGAAGACCCCAGCGGCGCATTCCGCGTGCGTTTCCCCCATTCATTACGGCACACTCTTCGCACGGTTCGTGGCCCCATAGGGAGCTCCACCGTCTCCTCTATCCGGTGCGGCACACCCATCGCACGGTTCGTGGCACCGTGGGGAGTTCCACCGAAGGCCCCAGTGGTGCAGTCCGCATGCGTCTCCCCCCACCCAGTACAGCGCTTCGTGACCCCACAGAGAGCCCATAGAAGGCCCCAGTGACGCAGTCCGAATGCGTCCCCCCTCCCACCCAGTTCAGCACTTCGGGGGCCGCGGCCGCATGCGTCACCCCCCACCCTGTTCAGCGCTTCGTGGCCCCATGGGGAGCTCCACCCAAGGCCAGTGGCGCAGTCCGCATGCGTTTCCCCCACCCAGTACAGCGCTTCGTGCCCCCATACGGCGCGGCCGCATGCGTCTCCCCCACCGAGTTCAGTGCTTCGTGGCCCCTATACAGTGAGCTCCACCGAAGGCCCCAGTGACAGTGGCCGCTTGCGTCCCCCCCACCCTGTTCAGTGCTTCGTGGCCCCCATAGTTCCCGGAAAGGGCTTAAGCCCAGGGTTCTCTTTTTCCCGGAAAGGGCTTAAGCCCAGGGTTCTCTTTTAGTTTGTAAACAAGTCCCCCGGTGCCTGCTTGAAGGAGGCCGGCGAATTTTTTCCCTGATAAATAACGAGGTCGAAGGAGGCCGGCGAATTTTTCCCTGATAAATAACGAGCCCGAGAATTAAAATTAGAGGATGTCTCGAGCGAAACGCTTGTTTTTGAGGCCGGCGAATTAAAATTTGAGGATGTCTCGAGCGAAACGCTTGTTTTTGAAATCCCGACCTCACCACACCCCAGCATGCACGACCACGCCCCAGCACAACCACCCCCCAGCACGACCACCCCCCCAGCACGACCACACCCCAGCACGACCACCCCCCAGCACGACCACACCCCAGCACGACCACTCCCTAGCACGACCACACCCCAGCACGACCCCACCCCAGCACGACCCCACCCTAGCACGACCACACCCCAGCACGATCACACCCCAGAACGACCACACCCCAGCACGACCCCACCCCAGCACGACCCCACCCCAGCACGACCACACCCCAGCACGACCACACCCCAGCAGGACCCCACCCCAGCACGACCCCACCCCAGCACGGCCCCACCCCAGCAAGACCACACCCCAGCACGACCACACCCCAGCACGACCTCACCACAGCACGACCACTCCCCAGCACGACCCCACCCCAGCACGACCACGCCCCAGCACGACCACACCCCAGCACGATCACACCCCAGAACGACCACACCCCAGCACGACCCCACCCAAGCACGACCCCACCCCAGCACGATCACACCTCAGCACGACCACACCCCAGCAGGACCCCACCCCAGCACGACCCCACCCCAGCACGGCCCCACCCCAGCAAGACCACACCCCAGCACGACCACACTCCAGCACGACCTCACCACAGCACGACCACTCCCCAGCACGATCACGCCCCAGCACGACCACATCCCAGCACGACCACACCCCAGCACGACCCGATCGATAAATCACAGGGTGCGGAGCACCCCAGCACGAACCCACCCCAGCACGACCCCACCCCAGCACGACCCCACCCCAGCACGACCACGCCCCAGCATGACCACACCCCAGCACGACCACACCCCAGCACGACCACTCCCCAGCACGACCCCACCCCAGCACGACCCCACCCTAGCACGACCACACCCCAGCACGACCACACCCCAGCACGACCCCACCCCAGCACGATCACACCCCAGCACGACCCCACCCCAGCAAGACCACACCCCAGCACGACCGCACCCCAGCACGACCTTACCACAGCACGACCACACCCCAGCACGACCACGCCCCAGCACGACCACGCCCCAGCACGACCACGCCCCAGCACGACCACGCCCCAGCACGACCACGCCCCAGCACGACCACCCCCCAGCACGACCACCCCCCAGCACGACCACCCCCCAGCACGACCACACCCCAGCACGACCACTCCCCAGCACGACCACACCGCCTTGGTTGAGTGGTTGCCTGTCGTCGTGGAATGTTTCGTGGGGTGTCTCGTGGAATGTTTCGCGGGGTGTCTCGTGAAATGTTTCGTGAGGTGTCTCGTGGAATGTTTCGTGAGGTGTCTCGTGGGCTGTTTCGTGAGGTGTCTCGTGGGATGTTTCGTGAGGTGTTGCCCAGTTGGGTATCATGAAAACGTGTCCATGCTCCACATGTCTATATCCCTTTCCGGGTTCGTGGGTCCATCATGTTTTTTTCCGAAGGCTCCAGTGCCCGCGGCCGCATACGCCTCCCCCCAGCACACTGCTTCGTGACCCCAAAAGGAGCTCCACCAAGGGCACCAGTGGCCGCGGCCGCATGTGTCTCCCCCACCCAAGACAGCGCGTCGTGGCCCCATTGGAAGCTCTACCGAAGGCCCCAGTGGCCGCGGCCGCATGGGCCCCCCCCCGCCCCACCCAGTACAGCGTGTCGTGGGCCCCCCGCATGGGCCCCCCCCCGCCCCAGAGGGGGCTCCACCGAAGACCCCAGGGGCCGCGGCCACATGCGTCTCCCTCGCCCACTAGGGCACACCCCTCTCGCGCTTCGTGGTCCCATCGGGAGCTCCGCCGAAAGCGGTACCCACAACGCGGGACTCACAAGTGCATGTGGTTGGGTCCTTCGCCAGGCTGATTTCACAACGTCGGATCTAGGGTTTGGTGGCGGCCTCGTGCCGTCTCGGGACAGCTTTTCGGGCGGCCCAGGACAGGGATAAACCGTTTCAGAGCTTGCTCGAACGCTCCCAGGGCGTTCCGGAGCGCTCTGGAACGACAGCGGCGCCCGATGCATCCTCCAAAATCGCCGGATCTTAGAGATCTCCGAGTTGTCCCGGTCCGATGTTGTCCCAGTCTTGGCCTCGTCTTAGATTTGGGGCAGTATTGAGCCGCCTTGGGACCTACCTGAATCGCCCTGGACCTGTCTGTGGGACGTCTTGGGGCCTCCGAGGCTTTCTCCGTGCGCCTGGAGGCTCTCCAGAGCGGCTTCGGGGGGGTCACTTGAGGAGGGTCGCCTCGGGGTCCCCGAAACTCACGTGAACAAGATACGGTAGGTTCGCGTCGTGTCGACCGACGGCGACCCCGCCGCGGGTTCAAGGTTGAACGCCGCCAGTGGCCCAGAATCGGCCTATATGGAACGATCGAGCGATCCACAGTCGCCGATCGTTCAAGGTTGAACGATCCATGCGGAGTCAGAAACCAACGCCGGGGTCGTCACGACACGAACCTGACGTACTTCGACAGTATGGGGCGAGAAGCTTGACGGAGGGGGAGCACATACCAACACTGCTGCAGCCGGAAGCTGCTGCTCAGCGTGTCGCGCCACCGGCTCTGGCCCGGCACGCTTCGGCGAAGCACGCTCCCTTTCTCCAAGCATCAACATCCTGAGCGCCGCGGAGCAGAGCGACACGCTGCCAGCTCGCACGGCACAGCGTATCGCCGGGGCCGCCGCCGCAACATTTCGGGTCGGGCGAAAGGGTGGGATTGGGAAAGGGGGGGTTAGTTACGAAATTTGCTGCATGCAGCTGGTTTCGGCCTCACCGAGGGGCCCATTCCTCGATACATAGCTCCATCCGGCGCCAGGAGGCGCCGGGAAAATCAGCTACGTGAACTGATTCTCAAACTCCCCCTTTGCTATCCCCCCCTTTCGCCCGACCCGAAACATGCGAAGCAAGAGTTCCTCACTGTGCCCCCCCTGCCCTCGTCTTCTCCGTCCTGGGGATCCCTGGGGGCTCTCGGCGCCACGTCTCGGCCGGATGCGCCTCGGAATCCTTGCTCGTGGTGGAAAGTTAATGTTCATGTTGATTGACTGTTTGCTTGGCATCGCTCGGACGTGTGCGTTTTTCCTCGGCGAGGACCATCGAGGAGCATTCTTGATCACTTGGCGAAAAAACCACGCACGAAACCGGAAAAAAACACAGGGAATGGACGTCCGAGCGATGGCCAGTTTGTGGTTGGCCCAGACATGGCGTATCGATCGAAAAAGACAAGACTGCGGCGTCTCATCGTCTTCGGCCTTTCGGGGCCCTTGCCGGGCCTCGAGGCGTGAAAAAGAAACATTTCGCGATGAAAAGCCGCCCTTGGAGACTTGCCGCGGGAGCATTCGGGGCACCTTGTCTGGAGGCCCGCCACCGCAGACGTGGATGATAGGAGTGCGTGGTCGTTGAAGGGTCGGAAGAGTCAGAAATTGAGGAAGCATGCCGACGACGCTGGTTGTTCCAACGAGGGGTCTTCTCACCTCTCAACACGGCTGTTGTCGCGTAGATTCGGTTATGTTGTTGATGTTTCCATGGAGTGGCACGGACGCCCACGTTGAGGATTGGCGATGTCATCTGTTGTTCGCGCTCGTTCCCCTCAGTTTGCCTCATCCTCCTCCTAAACTGCTTTCGGCAAGAAGAGAATCTCGTTTCTCGACACTTGGTCGTCTTAAAAGCAGCTCCGCCCTTTGCACAGCCCAGGTGCTCCAAGTGCAGCTGCGATCAAAAAAATCGAGCCCCGTTTTGGAGCGAATTCCATCGGGGCCCATCTTGGATGGGGGTCGGCGCTGTTCCAGCAAGTGGATCAGAGAGCCCGCTTCGGTTGCTGCCTGCGACCACGACTACGACGAAGTCCTTAGCAACCCCGTGGACCCTGACCCCCCCCTTCCGCTTCCTCATCCTGGGGCGAGGGCGGGGTTGGACCGGATGCGGCAGCTGGCCCTCTTGCGGGGAAGGGGGGGGGGGGGGGCGAAGTGGGTTGGGCGGAGTCGCGCGTCGCGTGCCGAAGCGCGGAGCTCCAGAGAAGCGGGGCGGGGGGACCGCGGCCAGAGGAAGGCCAGCGGCGGACGGGGGGCGGACAGAGGGGAGCGGGAAAGGAGAGGATGATTGCCTGCCGCCGTCAAGGGGGGGGGGGGGGCGCCAGGGGAGGCGGCGGGTCGGGAGCGCACCAGTTGTGCCTGCACCGATCTTGGGCAGGATCGGTGCGGGCGTATAGTGGGCGCGTGGCGGCGCCCTCCTGACGGGGCGGTGATGGTATCTGCCTTTCTGGCCGCCCTCGCGGGCACCTTGCGCGCCCCCAGCACGGCAGCGGATCCCGTACCCCGCCCGCCCCCCGTGCCGGGGCGGCAGTGGCAGTGAGGCCCCTCATCCCTACAAGGCGGGGAGGGCCCCGGGGAGGGCGGGCTGGGCTGGGGGGGGGAGGTCGTTCGCGGGGCAGGAGCAGGACGAGTGAGCTGCAGCAGCTGCGGCGGCGGCAGGAGGTGGTGCTCTCCTACCCACGCGCGCGCGGCGCCCAGGTTGCCACTGTTTCCGTCCTCAGCAAAGAGCTGAAGGCTGACAGCGAGGCGGTGCGCAAGTTGGAGGCCAGAGAGGTAGTGGAGGTGCTCGAGGGCATTCGACCTAGCGGCTGAGGATGAAAGAGGAGGGGAGGGGACGAGGAGGGAGGGAAATAATAGAGATGAGAGGAGAATGTGAGCGATGAGGGGGGAGCATGGGAGAAGATCAGAGAGGGGAAGGAGAGCAGAGAAGAGCAGAGATGAAGAGAGGGGAAGGAGAGCAGAGAAGAGCAGAGATGAGGAGAGGAGAGGAGAGGAGAGGAGAGGAGAGGAGAGGAGAAGAGAGAATAAGAGAGAAGGAGAGAGGCGAGGAGAGGAGAGAGGAGAGGAGAGGGGAGGAAAGGAGAGGAGAGGAGAGGCGAGGAGAGGAGAGGAGAGGAGAGGAGAGGGGACGAGAGGAGAAAGGAACACAGCAGTTCGGACGGCACTTCGTCCAGGCCTAGCGGGGCGTACTGCGGCCCCGGCCTCCCTCACACTGGCGGGAGGCGCCGCGAAACGGACACGGGTGGGGACAACCACCCTCCCCCCTTGGGCGCGGCATGAAGGGTCTACGGCTGAAAAAAAGAGGACGGGTCTGTGACGATCAGGGCGTGACACGCACCCGAGAAACAGGCGCTGGCTTCCAGCGCGCTTTGGCCTGCGCGCATCGGCACCTCAGTGAACCGCGGCGCCACCTTGGGACATCCTCAGCAGCGGCCCAGTGCGAAGGCCGCGGAACAGTTGCCGGCTGTTTTCGCAGGGCGCCCGAAACAGGAGAGGCGAGCATTGGCGTGCTAGCGGTGAGCTTCAAGGTGCGCATGGAGGCTTCCGTAAAGAGTGCCCCCGAAAGCAGCGGTCGGACGGAACGTTTGTTGCAGGTTTTTCTTCCCGGCGGAGCGAGCTCTTTGAAATCTGCCCAACAGAGGGCTAGACTGGTCCTGGATGGAAACAAGTGACTGCGCAAGGTCTGTGGCACGTTGGTGCATCGCCGTGATGCTAAAGCTGAGAACCGTTACCCGTTTCCGATGTTGCTGCTGTTTGGCAGCCCGGAGGTGCTGCGCGATGGCGCGCCCGCGATCTGCTCGCTGCATTGGTGTTCTACCAGTGCCTGCGCCCGCTTGGGCGGTAGGGCGGTCGCCAGTGCCCGTATCCTGGCGGGAGGGGGACAGGACCTGGTGGCCAATTATGGACGGCGGCCGCGGAGGTAGGGCCCTCGTGCACCACAGCTTCTTGAGGCACCGCCCCCGAGTGCTTGTGTTGACTCCGTGCCGTGCTTTCGTCGACGGCGTCGTGACAGTTGTTATCGTGACCTCCTGCCAGATTATTGCGGTGGTTTCTTCATCGTTGCTCAAGGCCGCACAAGTCCCCAGCGGGGCCGCGTCTTCCCATTCGACTTCGTCGGCTGGGCCAACCCGCGGGTCGCCCAGATCGTCGAGGCAGTCCAGCCCTGGCGGGCCATGCGTTTGCAATGAATCGCCAGGTGAGCCTGGTGCCTCGTCACCCCCTTGCTGTATGGCGAGCGGCCCAGGCTTCATCTTGTTGAGTTCAGCCCGAGAGCAACCCGCGCGTCTCTCTGACAATGGTAACGCGCGGTGGCGACGGTCATAGATAGCGACAGCTGCGTCGTGGAGAACCGCCGCGAACTTGCGCGGCCACTTGGCTTCGTCTATGGCACACTGGTGCAGGGTGCGCAGGAGCCTTCCTGCAGCGGCGAGTTCATCTGCTCGTCGTTGAATGGCCTCTGCGGCCGGTGCGATTCGACCTTCACATAAACATTTCCTGACCGACATGGCGTTTGACTTCCTGGGCCTTGAACGCGTCGGGTTTGGCTTGTAGCGCACCGTGGATGTGTTTCTTAGGTCGCCCTGTGCCCCAGTTACTTGCGGTGGCTTTCCTACGAGGAGGGGGCTTCCAATGTCGTCGACGACGACACGGTCGCCAACGAGCGCGCGGACACGCCAATCAGCAGCGGGCGCCAGGCGGGGCAGGTCGAGGGCTTCAGCGCGCCGCGCGGACGGAGCCAAGCCGCGCACCCGGGCGAGATGGTCAAGCTGGTGGCCAGGCCCACAGTGGATTTCGAAAACAGCACTGGCAAGGAGCGGGCGGGCAAAGTGCGCGCAGGGTCCGTCGGCGGCCGCGCGGGCCCACCAGGCCTCCGCATCGTCGTCGGTTCATTCCTCGAAAACGTCGGCGTCGGAGCCCATCGGGGGGGGGCCGGGGGATTGGCCGAGGGGGGCCGTCCTGGCGCGAGGGTGGCCTGAGGGCCCAGCAACAGCGGGTCTTCTTCCATCCGCCCGCAATGCCACGCGCGAGGCGGGAGGCCCGCGCAGCGCCGGCCGGCGACCACGGTTTGCGGGGCGGCCCGCCCTCTCCCCTCCTCGGCAAGAGCGCGCCCAAACCGCGCGCCCCCAGGCGTCGACTCGGTCGGGCCATCTGCGACGCGACGGGTCGGCCGAGACGCTCGCGCATACTTCACTCTGGGCGTGGCCACCGCCGCGGCAGTTGTTGCTGAGAGCGCCGAAATGCCGGGCCATTCACTGCGCGTCGCCCTCGGTTCTCTAGCCACCAGGCATCGGCAAAGTAGCCGTGACCTTGTCCGGCCGCGGCGACCGCGCCCAGGTTTCGAACTGTGGCGGAGGCGGGTCGGAGGAGGATTTTTCTCGGCGACGCTCGGCGCGCGCGAGTGATAAGGCCGACCAGAAGGTATGACCAGTGCTAGTGGGCACCCCAGTCTTCACGCATCATGCCACAGGATGGCCAATTCCATTCCAGGCGAGCAAAGGCATGCCAGACGACAAACAGAGCCGCCCCCTGGGAAGGTCTGCGCGCGGTCGCGCGGCTCTTCAACTCGCAGCGTCGGGCCGGCCCCCCTCCACGCCTGTTTCTGCCGTCCGAGATGGGCCCCTCTTCCCGTCGCGGCGCCCAGCTCGACAGCATGCCCGCGGACAACGAGAGCGCAGAAGCCCCGCCGCGAGATCCAGGATCACCCCCGGGACACATGGCAGCGACAGCCGGCACGTCATAGAGGTTTCGTATCCTCGCGCCGGGGGGTTGGACGTTGGCGCCAGCGGCGCGCGCGCCGGCGGCGAGGTGCCTGGCCGAGCGGGCGCGCCCAATCCGCGGGAGTCAGGCAGCAACCCGCCGAATGCTAGCATCCGCTGCGGCCGCCGGGCCCAGGTTCGCATCGTCCGCCACCGACGCCGCGTTGATGCAGCTCCCCACAAGCTCTACTCGCGTCACGTAATCTTGTCGCGGGTGTCAGTCGAGTTGGAGAACTGCCGCGCGGCGGTGGAGGTCTTCGCCGACGGCCCAGCCCGCGAGTTTACCAGGGTGCACCTTTTGACATGAGAGGCGGTCGAAGAGGACGGCCTCGTCAGGAGCGGCCTGGGCCCCCCCCGGCAACGGGCGCGGCGAAGTTACTGTCGTTGGCCAAGGTCACGCTCACGCAACGGCGCCGCCTCTGAGCCTGGATGCGCGCCAGAAGTTCGACGTCGCCGAGGGGGGGAATTGGCTTGAAGGCGGCGGCCGGCGCGAGCCAAGGGTCCGAGATCCAGAGCGCGCCCCCCCCCCCCCCCCGCGCGAACGCATCTCTGCGCCAAGTTGAGACATGCGCCCGTGACATGGAAGTCGGAGCCATCTCGCCTGCCGAGTGCAGGTCCGGCCACAGGGCGCCTGGCGGTGGCGGGCGCGTTCCACCTGCAGCGCCAGCGCGGCGCAGGCGCGTCTGACGGCGGCGCGCGGCTCCGCGCCGAAGCTCGCCGGGCGAGTCCAACAGCCTCTCCGCGATGCCAGGCCGCGGCAAGCACCCGCGCAGACAGAACTCATAGCAAGCGTTGGTCAGCGAGCAGTTCCCCTGCCCCTTTCCGAGGGGTGGAGTTCAGGGCGTGGAGGAGGGGCCCAGGCGCTTCCCCCTCGCGTCGCGCGGCTCTCAGGAGAAGCACCCCGTCGGGCAGCGCCCGCGCTTCTCCGGCGGCGCATCCGCCCAGGCCACCGCTCCAGCGGCAGGTCGGGCGCAGATGATATGGGCGCGCGATTCGCCAGGACGACAGGCACAGATGGGGCGGGCCAGGGCGGCCCTGGCAGCACTCCGCATCGAACGCCGCCCAGGCGGGAATAGCTTCGTCAGAGCGGGCCCCCGTCTGTAGCGCGCAAGCATCGGCTCCCAGGCGTCCGTCATGAGCTCAGGCACGGCCCCCGCGCCAGCCAGGATTTGGTTTGGCTTGTTGGGCGAGGCGGGGCGTTCGGAGTCGGACTCGCTCGCGGCCGCCGCGCCAATAGGTCTGCTTGCGGCCGGGGGCCCGGCCACCGCGAGTCCGGCGATTCACCGTCGGGGGGGGGAGGGTACGAACAGGCGAACGATGGTGTTCATTGTTTGGGGATCATTTGCGAAAATCAAACATGTTCTCTGATCGCGAAGATTCCCCCTGCCGGCTCGCCTGAGACGGTTCGACGCAGCTGTCACGTCGACAGCCTCGTACGCCAGTTCATGCTGGACAGCGTTGGCAAGCACTACATCTACCTTGCAGCCGACGTGGAGAAGGAGGCTGCGCAAGATCGCACAGGTCCCGCGTCGCCAGGACGAGTCGCGGGTTCCTTACATACGGAGATCACTGCGTCTGGCAATTTCGAAAGCGATGAGTCTAGGTCACGAGAGCTGGGTCGACACACAAGAAAGACGCAAACGATCTTTGTCTGAACGTACCTAGTCAGACACCCAAGGCAAATGGTCACATATATTACTGCTATGGAAGCCAGACTTCCGTACGTGGGCCTGGAGACGAACTGGCAGGCCTGTCAAGAGGTGGACTGACGCGTAACCCGTGAAGCTCTCTGTCGATTGTACTTTCCATGTTTCACCATCCACGGTCTGCCCAGGCAGTTTCTTGACTGCCAGCAGGGGACCGCTCCCGGCAGGGAGTGGACGCCAGGGCTCTCTGCTCTGCTCCGCTGCTGACTTGGTTGCGGCCCCGAGCGCGGCAATGGCGCAGCTTCAGCCGACGCGGCTTCGGGTCGAACTCGCCCTCGCGGGGCGCCTTGGTAGACTGGCTGCTCGTGGTGAAAACCCATTGTAAGCCA